GCACAAAGGGCACCGGAGATATGGCCATGCGCGTGATGAAGAGATCTATCTTTACCAATGAAGCAAACATGCGCCACTTTCACTCCGATGTCACTGCTTATTTTATACAAACCAAAGGGATTTTGAGCGAAACCAAAGTGTTTATGTGAGATAAGGTAATTCATTGAAAGAGTGCGCTAAAGAAAGAATCGCGCTTGGCCACATTCTTGCCTCATTAGGGCTCTCCCATACTTTTCCTTAATTATGTCTCCTCCTATCTTCTAAGTCAGCTGTACAAAACATCCCTTTTCACTCAACAAAACTCATTATGACAGGTTGCAATCTAATTCGTTCTTCTTCCTAAAGTAGTTCCTTATCCCATTCTATCTATTGCCCTCCTTTCATTCTTCAACATGTCCTTCTCCCTTCTCTCCAAGTAATTTTTCTTGGCGCAGGCAGCAGTGCAGGTATGAAATGGTCCTCAATGCTTCATACAATTCCCCTAATTGGTCTTGATGAAATGCAGTGGAAAGGTATGTAAATAGCTTGACTAGGGCAGTAAAGCTAGACTTAAATCGCATCATCCTCATGTACCACAACTCATATTGATCACGTGTTGGCAGCATGGAGTCTTGTGAACAAGTAGTTATTTGCAATTATATTAGTCATGGCCCCAAAAGGTATCAAGACATCACGCTAAATAGTGCTCTGTGCACAATAAAGAGGGGCTTGTCTGCATGCCGGACTTGGAGTAAGTGAAAATGCAACCAAAAGCAGAAGATCAAGGAATCCCTCAGCAGAGAAACAGCACTTCGCACCTCCTCCTGTGCACATCGTATAGAACCTGGGCAGCCTGCATGAATGTTATGCCAGTGCATTACACGAGTATTACAAGTTCCTCTCTACATCAATAAAACACAGAGCTTTTAACTTTTGCCAAGCGTTCCATTTGACCCGCGGCATTCAATACATTTTGTTCCATAACAATGCCGGAAATAGATTGCCAATGCAAAAGGCCTTTTACCCTCCATAATAAAGCCGTATTCTTCGCCTATGCTCCCCAGCACAACACCTTCCGAATGTGCTGCACTGCACCTGAAATTTCACTTCAAAGTTATTTTTGGCTCCTTGACATTCAGCAATTTCTGGTGTTGGAATGAGTAACAATCTATCCTGTACAATTTCGCCATAGGACTTCTGCTTACATGGGTGCACGTCCACCAAATAAATGAACTCTAGAATTGCACTTTTACAAGGTTTCAGGCTTGTAGATTGGTAGAGACAGTTAGCTGATTGAAGTGCATTTAAATCCCAAATATAGCAAGGCCAATCAGCTGCAGCCTTTCGAAATCTAGATATCATCAAACTACTAGTCTAAGTATACCTCTTTTAGGGCTAATATTAGCAACCAGAGGTAATAAATTCATTGCTTGCAACAAACTTCCATGATCATGTTCTGTTCCCTTCATTAGGACTAATACGCCACACAGAGTTCTGTTTAATCACGTGAAAGGTACGTCAGTAACCTTCAGAAGGGAAGAACATTCGCAGCAAGCGCCCGAAATTCCTCGTTCGACACATCTTTATTTGTTTTGATGTTACCCGAAAGTAAGGAATTCCCATTTACTGAAATTACCTGCGTGGTAATTTGTCCAACACTCTTGGAGTGACTGCCAAATCACAATTTGCCATCCCTGACGCTTCTGATGCTGCTGATGGTGCCGATGCTCCGGCTGCGACTGCTCACTCATACCTTAAAGCTGACAATTTCACCCTTTTGAATAGAAATGCCTCTTAGGCGTCATTGTCAGTCGTCTTGGCATCATTCCAAATCTCTGTCAAAGTGCGTCACTCGTTTGCAAGTCTGAAGTTACTGGAATGAAACCGCTTGGACCGTTAATCTGGCTTTCATTCGTTTTTCACTCGAGCCGGCTGTCCCACCATAATAAGCTCACGAAGGAGTAGAGCCCCACTACCTATTATCCAAAATGCACTACCGTCTCGTTTTCATTACTGTAACTCAGTTCGTCACCGCTAATTTGGCGGCTGCACAAAGTCCTTAGTCATTTGTGGAATCAGGGGTAATACTCTCTTCTCATTGATTTATTGACTCACCAACTGCATTCAACGCTAGCATTCACTTTCACACCATGCATCGAGTTGAGCCAATCAACTCTCCCATCTGCGGTCTGTTGCACACGCATGCAAATCAGGTAGTGCTGTGACTTCTTGCGACTGATCTTTGAGTTGCGTGGATCCTCAGTGAGGAGGACGTGATGCTGGATTAGTGAGTGAAACGCCACACACAGCTCAATGTAGAATGGGTGGCTCCAGATTCCCTCCACGCCACACCATTTGGTTACGATATCGTGCCCGATAGGGTACTTGCAAGTGGGGATACTTCTCTTCGACTTGGCATCATTACCTACGTAACTATCCCTGTTGCCCACACCAATCATGATGTTCTGCTGACGAGCACAATCGACAGGTAAGGGCAATACGGTACGAGAGCAGTTGCTTTAGCGCAGCCAACGTTGGGCGCATCCCACGCATCTGCAATTACTAGAGCTGCATTTTCTCCAACCCTTCTCTCCTCCATCCTCTATCGTCTCTCCCTTCTCTCCCCTTTACTTTTCTCTCTAATCTGCACTCTCTCCATCTCTCCATTCTTCTACAGCTTGGCTCAACTCAGCTTGGCTGCGGAGCAATCACTTGCACACTAGTCGCATGTACTGAGTCAAATTTGGCAAATCCTGTCATCGAAGCTTCCACATATTCAGCTCCGATCTAACTGAGATTAATCAGCATTGACTTTGAGCGGAGACACCAACATCCTACCTCTACATCCCCTCAATGCTCTCTCTATCCTATTACTTCGATACCCCTTACATCCTCTTATTCTTCTGCCTAAATTTTGAATAGCAATTGATGCGCAGCCGAGAGGAGGACCTGGACAGAAAATCAATTCATAAGGTAATCGTGATGCACCAGACATCGGGACACGCTTCATGCACTGTCATCAGATTTATGTCGAGGTGCCAGAATTGCCCGAGTTGTTTGAGGTGCCTTCAAAAATGTGTGCATGCAATGGAAGGGCTGAAATGGAATCGAGGGAATAGGTCGTGTCTATTTCCAACTCCTGTTCATTACACTTTGTTTGTGTTTGCAAGTCCGTCAATGGTTGCTCACATGAAAAGCAGGACAGAGTAAACCAGGTCAGATCACATTAGATGAGGTGGAATCCGATCGGGCCTAGGCAGAGCAGCCTGTTCTACGAGCTTATGCACTTCGCGCTCCGCTTTTTCTCCCGGTTGGGCGACATGCCGCAAGGATACACTTCATACATGCTGTTACTTTATTGTTCTCATGGTCATTTTATAGCATTCGACCCACCATGGAGTATGATGGGCGCGTCTACGTAGGTGAGGGCTCTGGTCTCTCGCGCAGCTAATACATCCATTCTAAAGGCCCATTTGACGCTTTCACGTTGGGAATAGATAGTGTCCGTGCTCGATCGTGTACATACGTAGGAAAGCACAACAATAAATTATAACATCATGACGGTACCGCATTTCAATAACACTTTAAGTGAAGATACGATGTCTTTAGTGATTTTTATTCGAGGGAACAATTCTCGAGATTCAGGTGCATCGTGCCCTGACTCAGAATTGTAATCGGAATGTGGTACCATCATGGCGTTGTAACTTCTCGTTACGAATTCCTACGTATACAAGCAAGCAAGCATGGACACCACCTGAACCCAACGTGGATGCATGAAAACACAGACCCTTCAGAATGGATATCTTAGCTCGCACAGCTGCTTGACCTAAATGTCAGAGAAACCAGAGCCCTCACCAACGCAGACAAGCCCTTGAATACCAGAACTACCACTGACTATCAAGTACTT